CTGAGGCTCGCGCTCCCGGGGTGCGCTCCCAGCAGCGGCTGGCGGGGCAGTTTGTGAGGGGGCTGAGGGAGCCGACGGAGGGGGCCGACGGAGCCGGGGGGGCCGACGGAGCCGGGGGGGGCCGACGGAGCCTGGGGGGCCGATGGAGCCGGGGGGGGCGACGGAGCCGGGGGGGCCGACGGAGCCGGGGGGGCCGACGGAGCCGGGTGGGCCGACGGGGCCGACGGAGCCGGGTGGGCCGACGGAGCCGGGTGGGCCGACGGAGCTGGGTGGGCCGACGGAGCCGGGTGGGCCGAAGGAGCCGGGTGGGCCGACGGAGGCTGTGGTTGTGAAGCTATGGCAACTCCTGTACTGTAGTGGCTATCGCTTGGATATCGGATTAACTGGAGCAACACATTGGTTCGTTTTAAGCACTGGGTGTGACTTATACAGTGAGAGGAAAAAAGTATTTGATCCCCTGCTGATTTTGTACGTTTGCCCACTGACAAAGAAATGATCAGTCTATAATTTTAATGGTAGGTTTATTTGAACAGTGAGAGACAAAATAACAACAATAAAAAAATCCAGAAAAACGTATGTAAAAAATGCTATAAATTTATTTGCATTTTAATGAGGGAAATGAGTATTTGACCCCCTCTCAATCAGAAAGATTTCTGGCTCCCAGGTGTCTTTTATACAGGTAACAAGCTGAGATTAGGAGCACTCCCTTTAAGAGTTTGCTACTAATCTCAACTCGTTACCTGTATAAAAGACACCTGTCCACAGAAGCAATCAATCAAATTCCAAACTGCACCATGGCCAAGACCAAAGAGCTCTCCAAGGATGTCAGGGACAAGATTGTAGACCTACACAAGGCTGGAATGGGCTATAAGACCATTGCCAAGCAGCTTGGTGAGAAGGTGACAACAGTTGTTGCGATTATTCGCAAATGGAAGAAACACAAAATAACTGTCAATCTATACTCTTTGGTTTTATTCGGTAAAGTCACGTAGATAAAATAAAACAAAATAAAACAAAATAATTAAATCACGACGTTTCGGAGGCAACACAAGCCTCCGTCTTCAGGTGGAAAAGTCAACGCAGAATATCTGTGTTAGGAGCACAGTTCAGAGACTACCTTGGATTATATACAGGTTAAGGGAGGGGGGAGGAGTCAGTATGGTGACGTGGGTGGGAGGGCTGGGCTTAGCAGCCTTTTGATAGAATGCTGCGGGTAACACCCACTTCTCAAAGCTCACATCAAAGGGCCCCCCGATGTGGGCTCACATCAAAGGGTCCCCCGGTGCGAGCTCACATCAAAGGGCTCACATCAAAGGACCCCTCGATGTGAGCCCACATCAAAGGGCTCCCCAATGCGAGCTCTCTGTGAACGCGATCAAAGGGCTGTACAAAAAAATTGAAAGGCAGCTCACGTTTGACTTGATTTAAAACATCTTTCCAGTGATTACTCAATTTGAAACCATCCTCTCGGTTGAAGTTGTCTACGTTTGTAAATCTGGATGGCCTTGATAATAGCCTACAGGCCTCGTGGACAAATATCTGATAATAGCCTACAGGTTATTATCAGAGATTTGTCCACGAGACCATCGAGTGGCCCTTTGATGTGAGCCCTTTGATGTGAGCTCGCACCGGGGGACGCTTTGATGTGAGCCCACATCGGGGGGCCCTTTGATGTGAGCTTTGAGAAGTGGGTGTTACCCACAGCATTCTATCAAAAGGCTGCTTAGCCCAGCCCTCCCACCCACCCACGCCCCCTTACTGACTCCTCCCCCCTCCCTTAAACTGTATATAATCCAAGGTCGTCTCTGAACTGTGCTCCTAACACAGATATTCTGCGTTGATTTCACCTGAAGACGGAGGCTTGTGTTGCCTCCGAAACGTCGTGATTTAATTTTTTATTTTGATTTATTTTCTCTACTTGACTTTACCGAATAAAACCAAAGAGTATGAATCCTTGCAGTCACGAAAGCTTCAAATCTAGAACTGTCAATCTCCCTCGGCCTGGGGCTCCATGCAAGATCTCACCTCGTGGAGTTGCAATGATCATAAGAACGGTGAGGAATCAGCCCAGAACTACACGGGAGGATCTTGTCAATGATCTCAAGGCAGCTGGGACCATCGTCACCAAGAAAACAATTGGTAACACACTACGCCGTGAAGGACTGAAATCCTGCAGCGCCCGCAAGGTCCCCCTGCTCAAGAAAGCACATACATGCCCGTCTGAAGTTTGCCAATGAACATTTGAATGATTCAAAGGACAACTGGGTGAAAGTGTTGTGGTCAGATGAGACCAAAATGGAGCTCTTTGGCATCAATTCAACTCGCCGTGTTTGAAGGAATGCTGCCTATGATCCCAAGAACACCATCCCCACCGTCAAACATGGAGGTGGAAACATTATGCTTTGGGGGTGTTTTTCTGCTAAGGGGACAGGACAACTTCACCGCATCAAAGGGACGATGGACGGCGCCATGTACCATCAAATCTTGGGTGAGAACCTCTTTCCCTCAGCCAGGGCATTGAAAATGGGTCGTGGATGGGTATTCCAGCATGACAATGACCCAAAACACACGGCCTAGGCAACAAAGGAGTGGCTCAAGAAGAAGCACATTAAGGTCCTGAAGTGGCCTAGCCATTCTCCAGACCTTAATCCCATAGAAAAGCTATGGAGGGAGCTGAAGGTTCGAGTTGCCAAACGTCAGCCTCGAAACCTTAATGACTTGGAGAAGATCTGCAAAGAGGAGTGGGACAAAATCCCTCCTGAGATGTGTGAAAACCTAGTGGCCAACTACAAAAAACGTCTGACCTCTGATTGCCAACAAGGGTTTTGCCACCAAGTACTAAGTCATGTTTTGCAGAGGGGTCAAATACTTATTTCCCTCACTAAAATGCAAATCAATTTATAACATTTTTGACATGCGTTTTTCTGGATTTTGTTGTTGTTGTTCTGTCTCTCACTAGTCAAATAAACCTACCATTAAAATGATACACTCATCATTTCTTTGTCAGTGGGCAAACGTACAAAATCAGCAGGGGATCAAATACTTTTTCCCTCACTGTAGTAACACATTGACAGGGGATAACAATGTTGTTACTAATGTGGCCTTTTAAGGTTAAAAACCCCCACTAGTTATTCATTTAATGTAAAAATCTCAGGCGCCGCGGTTAATCCGTAGGTCGGCTAAATGGCAAGCGGATTATCGAGAACACTAAATAAATATTGAATACTCCCAGATACAACTGTCAGCAGTAGCAGAACAAACGTGCCAACAAGTACTCAAAAAAATTACAAAATTTGTTATTTTCTTTTATCCTATCTACGTGACTTTCCCGAAAGATCCAAGAATGTGAATTCCTGCGGTCACGAAATCTTTAAGTCAAGTTTTGAAACTCAATAAATTTTGATAATCTTGAAGTTCTGTGCAAAACTAGCGACTACTGGCCAAGACTAATTAGGGAATCGATCGAAATTGAAAGTAATATTTTTTTTAACCATTTGGATAGCTACCAACTTAGTGCTGCGTGGAAGCGAATCATCAAATGATGCATTGTTTAAATGCATGCCTATACAAGCCACCATACTTCAATAGGGATTACCGTTGGTACGGCTATTTTAATACACACAATGGACAGGAAAGACAAGATCAATGGGCCTGCATAATGCGCATGCATCATGGACGTTGGCTCAAGAGCGCAGAAGTGTGGTCACCACATCTACGCCTCCATATCAGGAATTAAACAGTAATACTTCTCCACATAAAGGAGTCGAGAGTGGGGGGAGCTCAGGGCTCCATCGTCACTAAACGTCTCCGCTAGATAATTCGCTGTGAAGGGCAGCAGTTGGCTGTCTGAGTCGGCGCCGTTGGTGTTGGGACGGCCGGTGTCGTGTATAGGCATAGGCTGTGAGCTACTGTGGAGGAAGTGTGCAGACGAAACCGTGGAAGTTGTTAATAAAGAAAGTGCCTGTGCCTCTTATAAACTGTCTCTGAATTGTTGACGCTACATTAGTATGAATATCTGAAGCCCCCTGTGTCTCTGTATACGCATGCATGGCGCTCTCTCTGCATTAACGGCTCCTATTAGCTTGGTTGGCTACATGCGGTTTGTACAGTGAGGGAAAAAAGTATTTGATCCCCTGCTGATTTTGTACTTTTGCCCACTGACAAAGAAATGATCAGTCTATAATTTTAATGGTAGGTTTATTTGAACAGTGAGAGACAGAATAACAACAATCCAGAAAAATGCACGTCAAAAATGTTATAAATTGATTTGCATTTTAATGAGGGAAATAAGTATTTGACCCCCCCTCAATCAGAAAGATTTCTGGCTCCCAGGTGTGTTTTATACAGGTAACGAGCTGAGATTAGGAGCACACTTAAAGGGAGTGCTCCTAATCTCAGCTTGTTATCTGTATAGAAGACACCTGTCCACAGAAGCAATCAATCAGATTCCAAACTCTCCACCATGGCCAAGACCAAAGAGCTCTCCAAGGATGTCAGGGACAAGATTGTAGACCTACACAAGGCTGGAATGGGCTACAAGACCATCATTTCTTTGTCAGTGGGCAAAAGTACAAAATCAGCAGGGGATCAAATACTTTTTTCCCTCACTGTATCTATGTATGGTGAACTTCTTTGACACCATACATAGCCAGCCGTGCTGTATGTACGTTGAACTTCTTTCGCACCGTACGTCGCCGACCGTGCTAAATATCCAAGCATATTTGCATTCAATATACCCATATACATCTTTCTCTGTATCTTTGCATTACTATATCTCAATAAACACAGCGCTCTCTACTGTCTATGTATCTGTATCCTCATTTATCTCTTTTATCTGTGTATAAATTTGACTCTATACCTCAGTGCATATCTATCCCACTCCTTCCCCACCTCCCGCTCCCCCCTCCCTTCCCACCTCTCTACCCCCCTCCCTCCCCACCCCCTTCCTCCCCACCTCCCTCTCCCCCCTCCCTCCCTTCCCCCTCCCTCTCCCCGTGTAGGCTACTGCCTGCCACTCGGCCACGCTGAGCTTGGCCGAGCCCCAGGTGGCGATGTTCTGCGGAAAGCTGAACATGCACCTGGGCCTGGACACTGGGCGCTGGCAGCCTGACCCCAGCGGGGTCACCAGCTGCCTGGCTACCAGACAGGACATACTCGCTTACTGCCAGCAGGTAAGACACTCACCCACTCACCCAGCCACTCACCTAGACACTCACCCAGCCACTCACCTAGACACTCACCCAGCCACTCACCTAGACACTCAACCAGCCACTCACCTAGACACTCACCCAACCACTCACCTAGCCACTCACCCACTCACCTACTCACCCAGCCACTCATCTCGACACTCACCCACCCAGCCTGACCCCAGCGAAGGTCACCAGCTGCCTGGCTACCAGACAGGAGGTATTCGCTTACTGCCAGCAGGTGAGACACTCACCCAGCTACTCACCTACTCACCCAGCCACTCACCTAGACACTCACCTAGCCACTAACCCACTCACCTACTCACCCAGCCACTCTTCTAGACACTCACCTACTCACCCAGCCTGACCCCAGCGGGGTCACCAGCTGCCTGGCTACCAGACAGGAGGTACTCGCTTACTGCCAGCAGGTGAGACACTCACCCAGCTGCTCACCTAGCCACTCAACTACTCACCAAGCCACTCACCTACTCACCCAGCCACTCATCTAGACACTCACCCAGCCACTCACCTACTCACCTAGCCACTCACCTAGCCACTTGCCTACTCACCCAGCCACTCGCCTACTCACCCAGCCACTCACCTACTCACCCAGCCACTCGCCTACTCACCCAGCCACTCGCCTACTCGCCCAGCCACTCGCCTACTCGCCCAGCCACTCGCCTACTCTCCCAGCCACTCGCCTACTCACCCAGCCACTCACCTTCTGACGTAGCCACTCACCCACTCATCTACACACCTAGCCACTCACCCAGGCACTCACGTACTCACCTAACCACACACTCATCCACTCACCTAGCCACTCACCTAGCCACTCACCTGGCCACTCACCTAAACACTGACCTAGACACTCACCCAGCCACTCACTTGCCTAGCCACTCGCTCATCCAGCCACTCGCATAGCCACTCAGCTCGCCATTCACCCACTCACCTAGCCACTCACCCACTCACTTATCCACTGACTCACCCAGCCACTCACCTACTCACTCACCCACATACTCACCTAGCCGCTCGCCTAGCCGCTCGCCTAGCCGCTCGCCTAGCCGCTCGCCTAGCCTCTTGCCTAGCCTCTCGCCTAGCCACTCACCTACCCAGCCACTCACCTACTCACCCACTCACTCATCCACTCACCTAGCCACTCGCTCACCTAGCCACTCGCTCACTTAGCCACTCACTCACCCAGCCACTCACCCAACCACTTACCTACTCACCTACTCACCAACTCACCTAGCCACTCACCTAGCCCCTCACCCAATCATCCACCCACTCTCTTCCTCCCTCCTAGGTGTATCCGGAGCTCCAGGTGCGAAATGTGGTGGAGGGGAACTCCCCGGTGACTATTGGAGGCTGGTGCCGGAGAGACAGAGCCCACGGGAAGAGGAGCGGAGCAGGAGAGAGGGGAGGAGAGAGGGGAGACTCCGCCAGCACGGGGCAGTGCAGGGGTCACCCTCACGTCGTGGTGCCGTACCGCTGCCTAGGTAAGAGACACGAGGAGAGAGAGAGAGACATGGGGAGAGAGACACGGGGAGAGAGAGAGACACAGAGAGAGAGACACAGGGAGAGAGAGACACGGGGAGAGAGAGAGGGACACATACAGGGAGAGAGACACGGGGAGAGAGAGACACGGGGAGAGAGAGACACGGGGAGAGAGAGACACGGGAAGAAAGAGACACGGGGAGAGAGAGAGAGGGACACATACAGGGAGAGAGACACGGGGAGAGAGAGAGAGGGACACATACAGGGAGAGAGACACGGGGAGAGAGAGGGAGGGACACATACAGGGAGAGAGACATGGGGAGAGAGACACTGGGAGAGAGAGAGAGGGACATATACAGGGAGAGAGAGACACGGAGAGAGGGAGACATGGAGAGAGAGACACGGGGAGAGAGAGAGGGACACATACAGGGAGAGAGACACGGGGAGAGAGACACTGGGAGAGAGAGAGACACGGAGAGAGAGAGGGACACATACAGGGAGAGAGAGACACGGAGAGAGAGAGAGACACGGGGAGAGAGGGACACATACAGGGAGAGAGACACGGGGAGAGACACGGAGACACAGGGAGAGACACGGGGAGAGAGAGGGACACAGGGAGAGAGACACGGGGAGAGAGACACTGGGAGAGAGAGAGGGACACATACAGGGAGAGAGAGACATGGAGAGAGAGACACGGAGAGAGAGAGGGACACAGGGAGAGAGACACGGGGAGAGAGACACAGGGAGAGAGAGAGAGGGACACATTCAGGGAGAGAGAGACACGGAGAGAGAGGGACACATACAGGGAGAGAGGGACACGGGGAGAGAGAGACACGGGGAGAGAGAGACACGGGGAGAGAGAGACACGGGGAGAGAGAGACACGGGGAGAGAGAGACACGGGGAGAAAGAGACACGGGGAGAAAGAGACACGGGGAGAGAGAGAGAGGGACACATACAGGGAGAGAGACACGGGGAGAGAGACACGGGGAGAGAGACACAGGGAGAGAGAGGGAGGGACACATACAGGGAGAGAGACACGGGGAGAGAGACACTGGGAGAGAGAGAGGGACACATACAGGGAGAGAGAGACACGGAGAGAGAGAGATACGGAGAGAGAGAGAGATACGGAGAGAGAGAGACACGGGGAGAGAGAGAGAGGGACACATACAGGGAGAGAGACACGGGGAGAGAGACACGGGGAGAGAGAGAGAGGGACACATACAGGGAGAGAGAGACACGGAGAGAGAGAGATATGGAGAGAGAGACACGGGGAGAGAGAGAGGGACACATACGGGGAGAGGGACACATGCAGGGAGAGAGACACTGGGAGAGAGAGAGAGGGACACATACAGGGAGAGAGAGACACGGAGAGAGAGAGAGACACACATACAGGGAGAGAGACACGGGGAGAGAGAGAGGGACACATACAGGGAGAGAGAGACGGAGAGAGAGAGGGACACATACAGGGAGAGAGAGACACGGGGAGAGAGAGAGAGACACGGGGAGAGACAATGAGACATGAGAGAGAGAGACGGGGGGAGAGACACAGAAACAGGGAGAGAGAGACATACATGGAGAGAGAGAGAGACGTACAGAGAGAGAGAGCCACGGGGAGAGACATGGAGACACGGGGAGAGACAATGAGACATGAGAGAGACAGGGACAGAGACACGGGGAGAGAGACACGGGGAGAGAGACACGGGGAGAGAGACACGGGGAGAGAGACACGGGGAGAGAGACACGGGGAGAGAGACACGGGGAGAGAGACACGGGGAGAGAGACACGGGGAGAGAGACACGGGGAGAGAGACACGGGGAGAGAGACACGGGGAGAGAGTCGCACGCAAAGGGAGAGAGGAATGAGAGACCCGGGGATGGGTGGTGGTCGCGGGTTGCTGAAAAGATGGAATCTGCCTCGGTAGCTCACGATCATAAATCACTCTTTGATTCCATCAAAAAAGCAACTTTGAGTGCCTTGCCCATCATCATCTCCACCATTGACGGAAAGAGCGGCAATCCGATCTCCGACCTCCCAGGAAACTGGCCTGCAGATTTGCAGAGCGTTTCCGTGAGGTCTTGGGGGGGGAGGGGGGGTAAGGGAATTTCCTCGGTCCAGACGACATCATGGGGGAATGTGGGGATGACCATTGCCAGTTCTGCATTTTTTTATTTTGGCAGAAGTAGTCTACCCCCCCCCCTTTTCAGAGTGGTTGGCTGAGTTGTCGTCTGTGGAGGAAGTACTGAAGGTGATCCGGAGGCTGAGATCAAGAAAAGTGCCGGGCAGAGACGATCTCCCAAGCACAATAGTGAGGGAGGGTGGCGTCTGTGTGCACAGACTGCCCTACGTGACATCGTCACAGCTATCTGGACCACAGGACAGGTTCCGCAGGATTGGAAGGATGCCCCGGTGATCCCCTCCCTCTTCAAGAAAGGGAGGAGAGGCTTGTGGAGCCCCAATGTGGTTTCGGGAAAGAGCGGTCCTGCACAGATGCCATATTTTCTGTCCGTCTGCTACAGCAGAGGTGTAGGGAATTCAACAGGACCCACATCTTAGCTTTATTGACCCAGTCAAGGCACTATGGATTCCATCAGTAGGCCTGGGCTCTGGGTTGTTCTTCGTGCTTTCGGAGTCCCTGGCTCTCTGTTCACGATCATTAAGGGCCTTCATGATGGCGAGCGGGCCTGGGTAAAACTACGTGGCCAGGAGTCGGAGCCATTTCCTGTTCACCTTGGTGTGCAACAGGTATGTCCTCTGGCTCCAACATTATTTTACATCTTTTTCGACCACGTAGTTCGTGAAGCCTTTGATGGCTGTACCGGAGGAATTTCCATCCGGTACAGATACAACAGGAAGCTGATCGATGCCCAGATGCGGTCAAGGGATTGCTCCCTATTGGTCAACCATGTTATGTATGCCGTTGATCTGCTAGTTGCTGCTCACTCGGGGGAGGAGTTGGAGGTGCTGCTGCTGAACCTGGAGTGTACCACGAAGATTTGGGGCCTTACCATCCCCTCAATTCCCCATTGGTGATGGAGCAGTTGTGGAGAGAGTGGAAATTTTTCTATACCTGGGCAGTGTTCTTCTGACCAGTTCTGGTTTGACAGCAGCCGTCTCACTCCAAATCAGTTGAGCGGCATTATCTTCTCGTCGGCTGCGTAATGCTGCTGTGTGGAAGGTACCTGGTCTATCGCTCAACACGAAGCTTCGCGTCTTCTCGGCCACGGTCGTGCCCTCCCTTCTCTACGCTTGTGAAACGTGGACCCCTCTAATGGAACATCAGCGCCGATTAGAAACATTTAGACTGACCTGCCTGTGATCCATCCTGGGTTTAACCAGGCTGGATTGTGTGAGCTCACAAATCCTCGAAAGATCTGGACACATACTCTTTGGTTTTATTCGGTAAAGTCACGTAGATAAAATAAAACAAAATAAAAGAAAATAATTAACAGCCGTTTGCACCCGCTTTCAAAATCCCCCCGACCCCCCACGCAGCTTCAGCCGTTTGCAACCGCTTTCAAAATCTCCCCGACCCCACACTCAGCATAACAAAAGGTGTTTTTTTTTTACCCACTCCCGTGCAGTGAGAATTGGTTGTTACCCGCAGCAGCCTATCAAAAGGCTGCTTAACCTAGCCCTCCCACCCACCCACGCCCCCTTATTGACTCCTCCCCCCTCCCTTAACCTGTATATAATCCCGGTTGTCTCTGAACTGTGCGCCTGACACAGATATTCTGCGTTGACTTTTCCACCTGAAGACGGAAGCTTGTGTTGCCTCCGAAACGTCGTGATTTAATTATTTTCTTTTATTTTGTTTTATTTTATCTACGTGACTTTACCGAATAAAACCAAACAGTATGAATCCTTGCAGTCACGAAAGCTTCAAATCTGGACACATTCCCATTGGTGAGATCCTCAGGCAGGCAAGGGGACTGCGTTGCCCGCATGCCCAGCCACCGCATGCCCAAGCAGCTTCTGTTTGGCCTTGATAAAGCCAGCTAAATGGGCATGACACAGGCTGGAGAAGAGAAGGACTGATGCGGTACAGGAGGATGTGGAGCTGAGTGGGCTTGCCGATGACTGGCATCTGCGATTTCAAGAGCTTCATCTATGGAGGAGGCTCATAAAGGATGCTGCTACTGGGGGTTGGAGGCAGTCACCCTCTTGCAACAACGGAGGGCAGAGGAGCAATGCTCACGACAACGAGCAGAGTGCCGGGCGGCTAAAACACACAAAGTTGGCACAGTAGGGGGCACAGGTGGTGCAATGGGCCAGTGATCTCAGGCGATCCATGGCACCTGGGTCTGCCCCGTGACCTCCTGCCAGCGGGCGTTCGACACTTCACGTGGCCTTAACGTACACCTAGCCTGGCACAAGCGCCGTGGTAACGTCATCGTCTATTAATGTCGAATGCCAGTTGTTGTTGTGTGACTGTGCCACTGTGTCACTTTGTGTGACTGTGTAACTTTGTCACTGTGTGTCACTGTTTATGACTGTAACTGTGTCACCGTGTGTGTGACTGTCACTGTGTGTATCACCGTGCGTGTGTGAATGTGTCACTACACAGTGGGAGAGTTCAAGAGTGACGCCCTCCTCGTGCCAGAGAAGTGCCACTTTCTGCACAAGGAGAAAATGGAGGAGTGTGAGACTCATCTGCACTGGCACAGCACTGCCAAGGAGGTGTGTGTCACTGCTTGTATTACTCTGTGTGCCACTGGGAGTGAGTGACTCAAAACTGCACCATCGACTCAAAACTGCACCATCGACTCAAAACTGCACCATATACTCAACACGGCCCATAGACTCAGCACTTCACCATAGAATCAACACTGCACCATAGACTCAACACTGCCCATAGACTCAACACTGCCCATAGACTCAACACTGCACCATAGACTCAACACTGCCCATAGTCTCAACAATGCCCAAAGACTCAACACTGCACCATAGACTCAACACTGCACCATAGACGCAACACTGCACCATAGACTCAACACTACACCATAGACTCAACACTACACAGAGACTCAACACTACACCATAGACTCAACACTGCCCCTGGACTCAACACTGCCCCTGGACTTAACACCACACCATCGACTCAACATCGCACCATAGACTCAACACTGCACCATAGACTCAACACTGCACCATACACTCAACACTGCCCATAGACTCAACACTGCACATAGACTCAACACTACACATAGACTCAACACTACACCATAGACTCAACACTGCCCATAGACTCAACACTGCACCATAGACTCAACACTGCACCATAGACTCAACACTACACCATAGACTCAACACTGCCCCTGGACTCAACACTGCCCCTGGCACCACCACACCATCGACTCAACACTGCACCATAGAGTTAGCACTGCCCATATCTTTCTGTTTATCTCCGTCTCTCTCTGTATATCTCTCTGTTTCTGTCTCTGTCTCTCTGTATATCTCTGTTTCTGTCTGTTTCTCTCTGTCTCTCTTTGTCTCTTTCTCTCTTTTTGTCTCTGTTTTTCTGTCTATCGCTTTGTATGTCTGTCTCTCTCTGTCTCTCCCTCTGCCTCTCCCTTTGCTTCTCTCTCTGTTTATCGCTGTGTATGTTTCTCTCTCTGTCTCTCTCTGTCTCTCCCTCTCTCTCTCCCTCTGTCTTTCCCTCTGTCTCTCTCTGTCTCTCTCCGTCTCTCTGTATCGCTCTGTCTGTCTCTGTCTCTCTCTCCATCGCTCTGTATGTCTCTCTCTGTCTCGCTCTCTCTGTCTCTCTCCGTCTCTCTCTGTCTATCTCTGTAAGTCTCTGTCTTTCTGTCTCTCTCTGTATGTCTCCGCCTTTCTCGCTGTCTCCGCGTCATCCCCGTGTAGGCGTGCGAGGCTCAGCACTCCAGTCTGCTCAACTTCGGCATGCTGCTGCCCTGCGCCATCGACCGTTTCCGTGGTGTCGAGTTCGTCTGCTGCCCTCTGGATCCCCAGCGAGCTGCCCACGAGGGGCAGCAGCAGCCAGAAGGGCAGCAGCAGGAGGAAGAGGAGCAGGAGGATAGGAATCTGAACGTCGGATTCACCTCACAGGAGCTGCGGCCCATCGATCCGGTGTACGACTGGTGGGAGGGCGGCCATGGCACGGATAGCAACTATCCGGCTAGGTGAGTGTTTTTTTTGTTTATACATGGCGCACAGATAGCAACTATCTGACTAGGTGAGTGTGTTGAGGCATGGCACAGATAGCAACTATCCGGCAAGGTGAGTGTGTTGTGTGGCATAGCACAGATAACAACTATACGGCTAGGTGAGTGTTGTGAGGCATGGCACAGATAGCAACTATCTAGCTAGGTGAGTGTGTTGTGTGTCATGGCACAGATAACAACTATCTGGCTAGGTGAGTGAGTTGTGAGGCATGGCACAGATAACAACTATCTGGCTAGGTGAGTGAGTTGTGAGGCATGGCACAGATAACAACTATCTGGCTAGGTGAGTGAGTTGTGAGGCATGGCACAGATAACAACTATCTGGCTAGGTGAGTGAGTTGTGAGGCATGGCACAGATAACTATCTGGCTAGGTGAGTGAGTTGTGAGGCATGGCACAGATAACAACTATCTGGCTAGGTGAGTGAGTTGTAAGGCATGGCACAGATAACAACTATCTGGCTAGGTGAGTGAGTTGTGTGGCATGGCACAGATAACAACTGTCTGGCTAGGTGAGTGAGTTGTGTGGCATGGCACAGATAGCAACTATCTGGCTAGTCGAGTGAGTTGTGAGGCATGGCACAGATAACTATCTGGCTAGGTGAGTGAGTTGTGTGGCATGGCACAGATAGCAACTATCTGGCTAGGTGAGTGAGTTGTGAGGCATGGCACAGATAACAACTATCTGGTGAGGTGAGTTGTGCGGGTGTATGCCCGGCTCTCTTGCTCACTTCTCCTCACCCATCGTAGTGAGGAGCTCACCGTGGACGACTCTCCACCTCCTCCTGCCCTCGCCAACGGCGACGATGACGCTGGCGACGATGATGGCGACGAAGATGCCGGTGACGGTGATGACGATGAGGAGGAGGGGGGCGATGATCGCGATGATGATGATGGCAACGACGATGGCGACGACGGCGATGATGATGCCAATGATGGCGATGATGATGCCAACGATGGCGACGATGGCGACGATGATGGCGACGATGATGGCAACGATGGCGATGAGGTGGAGCATGGAGCCACCATCACCACGACCACTGAGTGGGGTGAGAGAGGGAAGGGAGGAGGGGAGGGAGGGGAGTGGAGGGAGGGAGGGAGAAGGGAGGGGAGGGAGGAGGGAGGGGAGGTAGGGGAGGGAGGGGAGGTAGGGGAGGGTAGGAAGGAAGGAGAAGGGGGGGAGGGAGACCTCCACAGCGGTGCTTACTCCACTGCTGGATGGACACAGATAATTAAACAGAGACACGTCTACTCAGTGTAGCCTTCTGCATTCTAGAGGCTACACGCGGGAGCTTCGTGTGTGTTTTGTGTGTGTGTGTGTCTATGTGTCTATATGGCTGTGTGTCTGTGTGTCTATATGGCTGTGTGTGTCTGTATGGCTGTGTGTCTGTGTCTATATGTCTGTGTGTCTATATGGATGTGTGTCTGTGTTTATATGGACGTGTGTCTGTCTATATGGCTGTGTCTGTCTGTGTGTCTGTGTGTCTTGTGTGTCTGTGTGTGTCTATATTGCTGTGTCTGTGTTTGTCTGTGTGTCTGTGTGTGTCTGTATGGATGTGTGTGTCTGTGTCTGTATGGATGTGTGTGTCTGTGTCTATATGGCTGTGTGTGTCTGTGTGTGTCTATATGGCATCCGGCAAAACAACCCCCTACCTCCTCGCGGTGCCGGACGGGCAACTCTGTCGTGGACAGTGCTGTGGGGGAGGGCCAATTCCGATTGGCCCCTCCTCTCATGGCATCTGTGACCACCACAGTGGCTAAACGGGGGCTCTGGACGGGTGCGAGGGGCTGCTAACCCCTCCACCTTCAAAAATTTTACCACGAAACCATGAATTTAAATTTAACTAGTAAGCTTGTGCCGGAGGCCCCGGGGGGACAGGCGTCTATAACGTGTCCTGGCTAAACCCCAATTGGCGGAGCCAGGAGATTGAATCTCTTCCCTCGGGGCTCCTCCAGAAACAACGAAAAGCCACTTCGTGTAGCCACGTGGAATGTTCAAACGCTCACTGCGGAGGAGAGGCTGCCACTCCTCTGTCGGGAGCTGGACTGGATCTCTGTGGCAGAAGAGGTGTTCAGCCAGGAAAACATCGTGGCACAAAGTGGGGATGACCCTGTTGAGGCTGCGGTGCCTCAAATATTGGAAGAAGTCACCCCCTGTGAGTGGCTGGCTGAGGTGCCATCTGTTGAGGAAGTACTGAAGGCGATCTGGAGTCTGAGACCAGGAAAGGCACCGGGCAGAGATGATCTCCCAAGTGGAATGCTGAGGGAGGGTGGCGTTTGTGCACAGACTGCCCTACATGAAATCATAACAACAGTCTGGACCACTGGACGGGTTCCGCAGGATTGTAAGGATGCCCTGGTGGTCCCCCTCTTTAAGAAGAGGGACCGCACAGACTGTAACAACTACAGGGGCATCTCACTCCTCAGTGTGCCGGGAAAGGTCCTGGCAAGGATTATTCAACATCGCCTTGCTAGGCACGCTGGGTAGAGGCTTGCGAAGCCCCAATGCGGTTTCAGGAAAGGGCGGTCCTGCACAGATGCCATATTTTTTGTCCGTTTGCTACAGCAGATATGTAGGGAATTCCAACGACCTACATCTCTGCTTCATTGACCTAGTCAAGGCCTATGATACCATCAGTAGACCTGGGCTCTGGGTTGTTCTTCGTGCTTTCCGAGTCCCCTGACCCTCTGCTCACGATCATTAAGGACCTTCATGATGGTGAGCGGGCCCGGGTAAAACTACGTGGCCGGGAGTCGGAGCCATTCCCTGTACACCTTGGGGTGTGACAGGGATGTCCTCTGGCTCCCACATTATTTCACATCTATTTTGACCACGTAGTTCGTGATGCCTTCAATAGCTGTACCGGGGGAATTTTCATTTGGTACAGATATAATGGGAGGCTGATCGATGTCCGGGTGCGGTCAAGGGATGGCTCCCTATTGGTCAACCATGTTATGTATGCCGATGATTTGGTAATTGCTGCTCATTCAGAGGAGGAGCTGGAGACACTTCTGCTGAAACTGGAGCGTGCCACTAAGAGGTGGGGCCTTACTATCAGCCCCACCAAAACTAAGCACCTGCCTGGATATTTTGTACCATTGGACACTCCACCCCCACAACTCCCAATCGGTGATGGGGCAGTTGTGGAGAGAGTGGAGAGTTTCCCATACCTGGGCAGTGTGCTCATGACCGGCTCCGGTTTGGCAGCGGAGGTCTCACTCCGAATCCGTCGAGTGGCAATATCTTTTCATCGGTTGCGTCATGCTGTGTGGAAGCTGCCTGATCTGTCGCTCCGCACGAAGCTTCAGGTCTTCTCGGCCATGGTCATTCTCTATGCTTGCGAAACGTGGACCCCCCTAATGGAACATCTTCGCCAGTTAGAAACATTTAGGCTGGCTTGCCTACGATCCATCCTAGGTTTAACCAGGCGGAATTGTGTGAGGAGCTCACAAATCCTTGAAAGATCTGGGCACGGTCCCATCGGTGAGCTCCTCCGGCAGGCAAGGCTGTGTTGGCTGGGTCATGTAGCCCGCATGCCCAGCCACCGCATGCCCAAGCAGCTTCTGTTTGACCAGATCGAGGGGGCTAAACGGGCGCGGCACGGGCTAGAGAAGAGATGGAGTGATGTAGTACAAGAGTATGTGGAGCTGAGTGGACTTGCCGATGACCGGTACCAGCGGTGTCAAGATCGGCTTCTGTGGAGGAGGAGGCTCGTGAAGGATGCTGCTGCTACTGGGCAGTGCCAGGCTAAGCGCACTGTGAGGCCACTGACATCCACCGCCACTTAATGGCGAATGGCGGTTGTTGTTGTTGGGGGGGCTTGAAGAGAACATATATAAATATTGGGGCAGGAGGCACTGGGGGTAGAGTAGTGCCCCTTGTGCATCATTTGGAATATTGGAAAATTCGGCAATGCCAGAGCCCCGCCTTTGTCGGATGAATAAGGGTCACTGTTTAAAGAAGTGAGTTTGTCAAGCGGCTTCCGAATATTATCACACAAACCATGCACCTCCCCCTCTCTCCCTGCCTCTCCCCTCCTCCCCCCTCCCTCTCCCCCTTTCTCATTCCCTCTCCCCCTCCCTCTCTATCTCTCCCTCTCAACCCCCTCTCCCTCCTTCTCCCTCGCTCTCTCCCCGCAGCTGCCAGCTCCATCGCCCCATCTCCCACCACCACCTCCTCCACCCCCCGCTCCTCCTCTCCTCCTGCCGTGGAGGGGGGGGAGCAGGGGGAGATATTGGGGGGGGGCGAGGAAGAAGAGGAGGAGGAGGTGAAGGAGGAGGAGGTGAAGGAGGAGGCTGAGGAGGAGGTGGAGGAGGTGGCCGGGGGGGAGCATCGTAGATTCCTCGCCGCCAAGGAAGCTCTCGAGCGGAGTCACAGGGAGGAGATGGGTCTGGCGATGAGAGCATGGGAGCAGCGTGGGAGCAGCCCCGGGGAGCGAGGAGGACTCATCCAGGTGGGGGAGAGTGTGTGGGGAGAGTGTGTGGGGAGAGTGTGTGGGGAGAGTGTGTGGGGAGAGTGTGTGGGGAGAGTGTGTGGGGAGAGTGTGTGGGGAGAGTGTGGGGGGAGAGTGTGTGGGGAGAGCGTGGGGGGAGAGTGTGGGGGGAGAGGAGGACTTATCCAGGTGGGGGGAGAGTGAGGAGTGGGGGGGGAATGTGGGGGGGGCGGAGAGTGGGGGGGGTTCTCTGCTGTGGAATGAATGGTATTGACTCATCCTCTGAACACCTTGTTGACCCATTAACCAGTTGACCCATTGACCCGTCTACCTATTGATCAATTGACCAATTTAACCTTTGACCAGTCTACCTATTGATACATTGAACCTTTAATCCGTTGACCAATTGACACATTGACCCATCTACCGATTAAAACATTGACCAATTTAACCTTTGATTAGTTGACCTAATGACACATTAACCCATCTACCTATTGACACACTGATCAATTGAACCTTTGATCATTTGACCGATTGACACATTGACCCGTCTACCTATTGCCACATTAACCCTTTGATCCATTGACCTATTGACACATTGACCCATCTACCTGTTGACACATTGCCCTGTTTACCTATTGACAAATTTAACTTTTGATCTGTTGCCCGACTGACACATTGACCCGTCTACCTGACCCATCAGGGGTGTTTAGTCGGCTCCACGTCGGTCGCGGTGGCACGGTGGGCGCGTTGAGTCGGGTTGCCTTGACAGAGGACAGTGGGGTCGCACCCAGTCGACCCGTCAACCCGTTGCCTCGTGAAACTGTTGTTGACCTGGTGACCGGTTGACTGATTGACCGGTTGAGTGATTGACCGGTTGAGTGAATGACCGGTTGAGTGATTGACCGGTTGGGTGATTGACTGGTTGTTGTTGACTGGTTGTTGTTGACTGGTTGTTATTGATGTTGACTGGTTGTTGTTGTTGTTTTTTTTATTGACTTGTTAAGTGGTTCCAGCTGGAGGTGTCCCACATAGACCGTGTATATGCCCAGCGCAGGCAGCTGCTGCTGCAGGGTTGACTGGTTGTTGTTGTTGTTGACTGGTTGTTGTTGACTGGTTGTTGTTGTTGTTGTTAAGCGGTTCCAGCTGGAGGTGTCCCGCATGGACCGTGCGTACGCCCAGCGCAGGCAGCTGCTGCTGCAGGGCCACGCTCGGCGCGCTCAGCAGGCGCTAAGCGACCGCCGCAGGGCGGCACTGGAGGAGCTGCTGGGCACGGTGCAAGGGGATCACGAGACGCGGGTAGCCACCACCACCTACTACCACGAGTTCTACTACTACTAGTGGTGCTAGTACTACTAGTGGTGCTAGTACTACTAGTGGTGCTAGTACTACTACTGGTGCTAGTACTACTAGTGGTGCTAGTACTACTAGTGGTGCTAGTACTACTAGTGGTGCTAGTACTACTACTACTAGTGGTGCTAGTACTACTACTACTAGTGGTGCTAGTACTACTAGTGGTGCTAGTACTACTAGTGGTGCTAGTACTACTACTACTAGTGGTGCTAGTACTACTACTACTAGTGGTGCTAGTACTACTAGTGGTGCTAGTACTACTAGTGGTGCTAGTACTATTAGTGGTGCTAGTACTACTAGTGGTGCTAGTACTACTAGTGGTGCTAGTACTACTACTACTAGTGGTGCTAGTACTACTAGTGGTGCTAGTACTACTAGTGGTGCTAGTACTACTAGTGGTGCTAGTACTACTATTAGTGGTGCTAGTACTACTATTAGTGGTGCTAGTACTACTACTAGTAGTGGTGCTAGTACTACCACGAGTTCTACTACTACTAGTGGTGCTAGTACTACTAGTGGTGCTAGTACTACTACTAGTGGTGCTAGTACTACTACTAGTGGTGCTAGTACTACTACTAGTGGTGCTAGTACTACTACTAGTGGTGCTAGTACTACTATTAGTGGTGCTAGTACTACTATTAGTGGTGCTAGTACTACCACGAGTTATACTACTACTAGTGGTGCTAGTACTACTAGTGGTGCTAGTACTACTACTACTAGTGGTGCTAGTTCTACTACTACTAGTGGTGCTAGTACTACTAGTGGTGCTAGTACTACTAGTGGTGCTAGTACTACTACTACTAGTGGTGCTAGTACTACTACTACTAGTGGTGCTAGTACTACTACTACTAGTGGTGCTAGTTCTACTACTACTAGTGGTGCTAGTACTACCACTAGTTCTACTACTAGTGGTGCTAGTACTACCACTAGTTATACTACTACTAGTGGTGCTAGTACTAGTGGTGCTAGTACTACTAGCGGTGCTAGTACTACTACTAGCGGTGCTAGTACTACTACTAGTAGTATTACCACTACTAGTAGTGGTACCACTACCAGAGACCCATGGACTCACCACACAGATACCCTTAGACTTACCACACAGATCCATAAACTCGTCACACAGAGTCATAGACTCACTCACACAGAGACCCATATACTCACCACACAGACCCACAGACTCACCACACAGAGACCCACAGACTCACCACACAGAGACCCACAGACTCACCACACAGAGACCCACAGACTCACCACAGAGAGACCCAAAGACTCACCACACAGAGACCCATAGACTCACCACACAGAGACCCACAGACTCACCAAACAGAGACCCACAGACTCACCACAGAGAGACCCACAAACTCACCACAGAGAGGCCCACAGGCTCACCACACAGAGACCCACAGACTCACCATGCAGAGACCCATAGACTCACCACACAGAGACCCATAGACTCACCACACAGAGTCATAGACTCACCACACACACCCACAGACTCACCACACACAGACCCATAGACTCACCACACAGTCATAGACTCACCACACAGACCCACAGACTCACCACACACAGACCCATAGACTCACCACACAGAGACACATAGAATCACCACACAGAGACCCATAGACTTACCACACAGAGACCCATAGACTCATCACACAAAGTCATAGACTCACCACACAAACCCACAGACTCACAACACAGAGACCCACAGACTCACCACACAGAGTCATAGACTCACCACACAGACCCACAGACTCACCACACAGAGACCCACAGACTCACCACACAGAGACCCACAGACTCACCACACAGAGACCCACAGACTCACCACACAGAGACCCACAGACTCACCACACAGAGACCCACAGACTCACCACACACAGACCCATAGACTCACCACACAGAGACACAGACTCACCACACAGAGACCCATAGACTCATCACACAGAGACCCACAGACTCACCACACAGAGACCCATAGACTCACCACACAGAGACCCATAGACTCATCACACAGAGACCCACAGACTCACCACACAGACCCACAGACTCACCACACACAGACCCATAGACTCACCACACAGAGACACATAGACTCACCACACAGAGACCCATAGACTCATCACACAGAGCCCCACAGACTCACCACACAGAGAGTCATAGACTCATCACACAGAGACCCATAGACTCACCACACAGAGGCCCATAGACTCACCACACAGCGACCCACAGACTCACCACACAGAGGCCCACAGACTCACCACACAGGGACCCACAGACTCACCACAGAGAGACCCACAGACTCACCACACAGAGACACACACTCACCACACAGAGACACACTCACCACACAGACCCACAGACTCACCACACAGAGACCCACAGACTCACCACACAGAGACCCACAGACTCACCACACAGAGACCCACAGACTTACCACACAGAGACCCATAGACTCACCACACAGAGACCCACAGACTCACCACACATAGACCCACAGACTCACCACACACAGACCCATAGACTCACCACACAGAGACCCATAGACTCATCACACAGAGACCCACAGACTCACCACACAGACCCACAGACTCACCACACACAGACCCATAGACTCACCACACAGAGACACATAGACTCACCACACAGAGACCCATAGACTCATCACACAGAGCCCCACAGACTCACCACACAGAGAGTCATAGGCTCATCACACAGAGACCCATAGACTCACCACACAGAGGCACATAGACTCAGCCACACAGAGACCCACAGACTCACCACACAGAGACCCACAGACTCACCACACAGAGACCCACAGACTCACCACAGAGAGACCCACAGACTCACCACACAGAGACACACACTCACCACACAGAGACACACTCACCACACAGACCCACAGACTCACCACACAGAGACCCACAGACTCACCACACAGAGACCCACAGACTCACCACACACAGACCCATAGACTCACCACACAGAGACCCATAGACTCATCACACAGAGACCCACAGACTCACCACACAGACCCACAGACTCACCACACACAGACCCATAGACTCACCACACAGAGACACATAGACTCACCACACAGAGACCCATAGACTCATCACACAGAGCCCCACAGACTCACCACACAGAGAGTCATAGGCTCATCACACAGAGACCCATAGACTCACCACACAGAGGCCCATAGACTCACCACACAGCGACCCACAGACTCACCACACAGAGGCCCACAGACTCACCACACAGGGACCCACAGACTCACCACAGAGAGACCCACAGACTCACCACACAGAGACACACACTCACCACACAGAGACACACTCACCACACAGACCCACAGACTCACCACACAGAGACCCACAGACTCACCACACAGAGACCCACAGACTCACCACACAGAGACCCACAGACTCACCACACAGAGACCCACGGACTTACCACACAGAGACCCACAGACTCACCACACATAGACCCATAGAATCACCACACAGAGACCCATAGACGTTGTCCGTGTGTATCTGTGCGTCTCACAGTGTATTTGTGTGTCTCACCATGTGTCTCTGTGTATGTGTGTGTGTTTCACCGTTTGTGTGTGTGTGTGTTTCACCGTGTGTGCGTGTCACCGTGTGTGTGTGTGCGCGTGTCACCGTGTGTGTGTGCGTGTCACCATGTGTATGTGTGCTTGTCACCGTGTGTATGTGTGCTTGTCACCGTGGTTGTGTGTGCGTGTCACCGTGTGTGCGTGTGCGTGTCACCGTGTGTATGTGAGTTTCTAACCGGCGATCCTGAGTCTGAGACCAGGAAAGGCAGCGGGCAGAGATGTTCTCCCAAGCGAAATGCTGAGGGGGGGTGGCGTTTGTGCACAGACTGCCGTATATGACATCATAACAACAGTCTGGACCACTGGGCGGGTTCCGCAGGATTGGAAGGATGCCCAGGTGGTCCCCCTCTTTAAGAAGGGCGACCGCACAGACTGTAACAACTACAGGGGCATCTCACTCCTCAGTGTGCCGGGAAAGGTCCTGGCAAGGATTATTCAACATCGCCTTGCCAGGCATGCAGAGGAGAGGCTTGCGGAGCCCCAATGCGGTTTCAGGAACGGTCGGTCCTGCACAGAGGCCATATTTTCTGTCCGTCTGCTCAAGCAGAGGTGTAGGGAATTCCAGCAAGATCTACATCTCTGCTTTATTGACCTGGTCAAGGCCTGTGATACCATCAGTAGGCCTGGGCTCTGGGTTGTTCTTCGTGCTTTTGGAGTCCCTGACCCTCTGCTCACGATCATTAAGGACCTTCATGATGGTGAACGGGCCCGGGTAAAACTACGTGGCCGGGAGTCAGAGCCATTCCCTGTACACCTTGGGGTGCGACAGGGATGTCCTCTGGCTCCTACATTATTTAACATCTATTTTGACCACGTAGTTTGTGAAGCCTTCAATAGCTGTACCGGGGGAATCTCCATTTGGTACAGATATAATGGGAGGCTGATCGATGCCCGGGTGCGGTCAAAGGATGGCTCCCTATTGCCCAACCACGTTATGTATGCCGATGATTTGGTAATAGCTGCTCATTCAGAGGAGGAGTTGGAGACGCTGCTGCTGAGACTGGAGTGTGCCACTAAGAGATGTGGCCTTACCATCAGCCACACCAAAGCTAAGCACCTGCCTGGGTATTTTGTACCATCGGACATTCCACCCCCACAACTCCCAATCGGTGATGGGGCAGTTGTGGAGAGATTGGAGAGTTTCCGGTACCTGGGCAGTGTGCTTATGACTAACAGCAGAGGTCTCACTCCGAATCAGTCGAGCGGTATTGTCTTTTCATCGGTTGCGTAACGCTGTGTAGAAGCTACCCGGTCTGTCGCTCCGCACTAAGCTTCAGGTCTTCTCGGCCACGGTCATTCCCTCCCTTTTCTAAGCTTGCGAAACGTGGCCCTCCCTAATGGAACATCTTCACCGGTTAGAAACATTTAGGCTAGCCTGCCTACGATCCATCCTGGGTTTAACCAGGTTGGATTGTGGAGCTCACAAATCCTTGAAATATCTGGGCAAGGTCCCATCGGTGAGCTCCTCCGGCAGGAAAAGCTGCGTTGGTTGGGTCATGTAGCCCGCATGCCCAGCCACAGTATGCCAAAACAGCTTTTCTTCGGCCGGATCGAGGGGGCTAAACGTGCGCCGTATGGGCTAGAGAAGAGATGGAGTGATGTGGTACAGGAGTACGTGGAGCTGAGAGGACTTGCCGATGACTGGTACCAGCAGTGTCAAGATCGGCCTCTGTGGAGGAGGCTCGTGAAGGATGCTACTGGGCAGTTGTAGGCATTCGCCATTCAACAACAACGGAGGGCGGAGGAGCGACGCTCACAACAACGAGCGGAGCGCCGGGTGGCTAAAGCACAGCAGGTTGGCATAGCAGGGGGCACAGGTGGTGCATCAGCTAGTCATCTCAGTCATCTTAGTCAGTCGACCCGTGGCACTTGGGTCTGCCCCGTGACCTCGTTCGACACTTCACGTGGCCTCAAGGTGCACGTGGCCTAGCACAAGTGTCATGGTGACGTCACCGCCACTTAGTAGCGAATGGCGGTTGTTGTGTGTGTGTCACCGTGTGTGTGTGTCACCGTGTTTGTGAGTGTCACCATGTGTGTGTGTCACCTTGTATGTGTGTGTCACTGTGTGTATGTGTGTGTCACCGTGTGTATGTGTGTCACCGTGTGTCACTGTGTGTGTGTGTGTATCACCGTGTGTGTGTGTATCACCGTGTGTGTGTGTGTCACCTTGTGTGTGTGATCGTGTGTGTCACCGTGTGTGTGATCGTGTGTGTCACCGTGTGTGTGATCGTGTGTGTGCGTGTGTGTGTGTGTGTGATCGTGTGTGTGTGTGTATCACCGTGTGTGTGTGTCACCGTGTGTGTGTGTAGCCACACCGCGTGGTGCAGGCTCTCCGACACTACCTGAGAGCCGAGTCCAAAGACCGCACCCACGCCCTGAGGCACCTCCAGCACACGGCCAGCGTCGACCCCGCAAGGGCACAGGCCATGAAGGCCCAGGTGGGAGATTGGTGGGGGGAGAGGGGGGGGGGAGGCAGGGGAGGGGAAGGGGGTGAGGGTGCAGGGTTGGCTACTTCCTCCAAACTTTTAGGCACAATAAAAATGCCTCTCCCTAATCTCTCCCAGATCTCTTTCTAATCCCCCTCTAATCTCTCTCTAATCCCTCCCCAATCTCTCACCAATCTCTCTCTAATCTCTCTCTAATCCCTCTCTAATCTCTCTCCAATCCCTCCCTAAACTCTCTCTAATCCCTCTATAATCCTTCCGTAATCTCTCTCCAATCCCTCCCTAAACTTTCTCTAATCTCTCTCTAATCCCTCTCTGATCTCTCCACAATATCTAATCCCTCCCTAATCTCTCCCTAATCTCTCCCTAATCTCTCTCTAATCCCTCCCTAATCCCTCTCTAATCTCTCCCTAATCCCTCCCTGATCTCTCCACAATATCTAATCCCTCTCTAATCTCTTCCTGATCTCTCTAATCTCTCCCTAATCTCTCCCCAATCTCCATAATCTCTCTCTAATCTCTCTCTAATCCCTCCCTAATCTCTAATCCCTCCCTAATCTCGCTCTAATCCCTCCCTAATCTCTCCCTAATCTCTCTCTAATCCCTCCCTAATCTCTCCCTAATCTCTCCCTAATCTCTCCCCAATCTCCATAATCTCTCTCTAATCCCTCTCTAATCTCTCTCTAACCTCTCTCTAATCCCTCCCTGATCTCTCCACAATATCGATCTAATCCCTCCCTATTCTCTCCCTAATCTCTCTCTAATCCCTCTCTAATCCCTCCCTACTCTCTTTCTAATCTCTCCCTACTCTCTCTCTAATCTGTAAGCCCTCCCTAATCTCTCCCTACTCTCTCTAATCTCTCCCTTATCTCTCCCTAATCTCTCTCTAATCTCTCCCTAATCTCTCCCTAATCTCTCCCTAATCTCTCCCTAAGCTCTCCCTAAGCTCTCCCTAATCTCTCTCTAATCTCTCCCTAATCTCTCCCTACACTCTCTAATCTCTCCCTAATCTCGCTCTAATCCCTCCCTACTCTCTCTAATCTCTCCCTAATCTATCTCTAATCCCTCCCTAATCTCTCCCTAATCTCCCCCTAATCTCTCTAATCCCTCTCTAATCTCTCCCTAATCTCTCTCTAATCCCTCTCTAATCTCTCCCTAATCTCCCCCTAATCTCTCTAATCCCTCTCTAATCTCTCCCTACTCTCTCTACTCTCTCCCTACTCTCTCTACTCTCTCCCTAATCTCTCCCTAATCTCTCCCTAATCTCACTCTAATCTCTCTCTAATCCCTCCCTAATCCCTCTCTAATCTCTCTCTAATCTCTCCCTAATCTCTCTCTAATCTCTCCCTAATCCCTCTCTTATCTCTCCCTAATCCCTCTCTTATCTCTCTCCAATCCCTCCCTAAACTCTCTCTAATCTCTCCCTAATCCCTCCCTAATCTCTCTCTAATCCCTCCCTAATCTCTCCGTAATCTCTCCCTAATCTCTCCCTAATCTCTCTCTAATCCCTCTCTAATCTCTCCCTACTCTCTCTACTCTCTCCCTAATCTCTCTCTAATCCCTCTATAATAATCTCTCCCTAATCCCTCTCTAATCTCTCCCTAATCTCACTCTAATCTCTCTCTAATCCCTCCCTAATCTCTCTAATCACTCTCTAATCTCTCTCTAATCTCTCCCTAATCTCTCTCTAATCTCTCCCTAATCCCTCTCTTATCTCTCTCCAATCCCTCCCTAAACTCTCTCTAATCTCTCCCTAATCCCTCCATAATCTCTCTCTAATCCCTCCCTAATCTCTCCCTAATCTCTCCCTAATCTCTCCCCAATCTCCATAATCTCTCTCTAATCCCTCTGTAATCTCTCTCTAACCTCTCTCTAATCCCTCCCTGATATCGATCTAATCCCTCCCTATTCTCTCCCTAATATCTCTCTACTCTCTTTCTAATCTCTCCCTACTCTCTCTCTCTCTCTAATCTGTAAGCCCTCCCTAATCTCTCCCTACTCTCTCTAATCTCTCCCTAAGCTCTTCCTAATCTCTCCCTAATCTCTCTCTAATCCCTCCCTAATCTCTCTCTAATCCCTCCCTAATCTCTCCCTACTCTCTCCCTAATCTCTCTCTAATCCCTCTATAATAATCTCTCCCTAATCTCTCCCTAATGTCTCCCTAATATCTCCCTAATCTCTCTAATATCTCTCTAATCCCTCCCTAATCTCTCTAATCCCTCTCTAATCTCTCTCTAATCTCTCCCTAATCTCTCTCTAATCTCTCCCTAATCTCTCTCTAATCTCTCCCTAATCCCTCTCTTATCTCTCTCCAATCCCTCCCTGAACTCTCTCTAATCCCTCCCTAATCCCTCCCTACTCTCTCTCTAATCTCTCCCTAATCTCTCCCTACACTCCCTAATCTCTCCCTAATCTCTCTCTTTTCCCTCCCTACTCTCTCTCTCTAATCCCTCCCTACTCTCTCTCTAATCTTTCCCTAATCCCTCCATAATCTCTCCCTAATCTCTCTCTAATCTCTCCCTAATCCCTCCCTAATCTCTCTAATCCCTCCCTAATCTCTCTCTAATCTCTCCCTAATCTCTCCCTAATCTCTCTCTTATCTCTCTCTAATCCCTCCCTAATCTCTCTAATCCCTCTCTAATCTCTCTCTAATCTCTCCCTAATCTCTCCCTAATCTCTCTCTAATCCCTCCCTAATCTCTCTAATCCCTCTCTAATCTCTCTCTAATCTCTCCCTAATCCCTCTCTCATCTCTCTCCAATCCCTCCCTAAACTCTCTCTAATCCCTCCCTAATCCCTCCCTACTCTCTCTCTAATCTCTCCCTAATCTCTCTCTTTTCCCTCCCTACTCTCTAATCCCTCCCTACTCTCTCTAATCTCTCCCTAATCCCTCCATAATCTCTCCCTAATCTCTCTCTAATCTCTCCCTAATCCCTCCCTAATCTCTCTCTAATCCCTCCCTAATCTCTCTCTAATCCCTCCCTACTCTCTCTCGAATCTCTCTCTAATCTCTCCATAATCTCTTCCTAATCCCTCTAATCTCTCTCGAATCCCTCCCTTATCCCTCTCTAATCTCTCTATAATCCCTCTATAATCCCTCCCTACTCTCTCCCTACTCTCACCCTAATATCTCTCTATTCTCTCTCTAACCCCTCCCTACTCTCTCTCTATGCGCTCTCTAATCCCTCCCTAATCTCTCTTAATGACTCTTTAATCTCTCCCTAATATCTCCCTAATCTTTCCCTAATCTCTCTAATCCCTCCTTACTCTCTCCCCAATCTCTCTCTAATTTCTCCACAATCTCCCTAATCTCTCTCTCTCTCTTAATCTCTCAAATCTCTCCCTAATCCCTCCCTAATCTCTCTCTAATCCCTCCCTAATCTCTCTAATCCCTCCCTAATCTCTCCCTTATCTCTCTAATCTCTCCCTAATCTCTCCCTAATCTCTCTCTTATCTCTCTAATCCCTCCCTAATCTCTCTAATCCCTCTCTAATCTCTCCCTAATCTCTCTCTAATCCCTCCCTAATCTCTCTAATCCCTCTCTAATCTCTCCCTAATCCCTCTCTAATCTCTCTCCAATCCCTCTCTAAACTCTCTCTGATCCCTCCCTAATCCCTCCCCACTCTCTCTAATCTCTCCCTAATCTCTCTCTTTTCCCTCCCTACTCTCTAATCCCTCCCTACTCTCTCTCTAATCTCTCCCTAATCCCTCCATAATCTCTCCCTAATCTCTCTCTAATCCTTCCCTACTCTCTCTCTATGCGCTCTTTAATTCCTCCCTAATCTCTCTCTATGCCCTCCCTAATCTCTCTTAATGACTCTTTAATCTCTCCGTAATCTCTCCCTAATCTCTCCCTAATCTTTCCCTAATCTCTCTAATCCCTCCCTACTCTATCCCCAATCTCTAATTTCTCCACAATCTCGCTAATCTCCGTCTCTTAATCTCTCAAATCTCTCCCCCCAGGTGGATGCTCACCTGTTGGCTATCGACGAGCGAATCAACCAGACCCTGGCGCTGCTGCTGGGACGCCTCCCACCACTCTCCTCCGACATGCAGCGCCAGATCGGTAGTGACACAGTAGTAGTAGTAGTGGTGTCACAGTAGTGGTAGTGGTGTCACAGTAGTAGTAGTGGTGGTGGTGTCACAGTAGTAGTAGTGGTGGTGTCACAGTAGTAGTAGTGGTGTCACAGTAGTGGTAGTAGTGGTGTCACAGTAGTAGTGGTGGTGTCACAGTAGTAGTAGTGGTGGTGTCACAGTAGTAGTAGTACTGGTGTCACAGTAGTAGTAGTAGTGGTGTCACAGTAGTAGTGGTGTCACAGTAGTAGTGGTGTCACAGTAGTAGTAGTGGTGTCACAGTAGTAGTGGTGTCACAGTAGTAGTAGTGTCACATTAGTGGTAGTAGTGACACAGTAGTGGTAGTGGTGTCACAGTAGTAGTAGTGGTGTCACAGTAGTAGTAGTGGTGTCACAGTAGTAGTAGTAGTGGTGTCACAGTAGTAGTAGTGTCACATTAGTGGTAGTAGTGACACAGTAGTGGTAGTGGTGTCACAGTAGTAGTAGTACTGGTGTCACAGTAGTAGTAGTAGTGGTGTCACAGTAGTAGTAGTGGTGTCACAGTAGTGGTAGTAGTGGTGGTGTCACAGTGGTAGTAGTGGTGGTGTCACAGTAGTGGTAGTGGTGTCACAGTAGTAGTAGTAGTGTCACAGTAGTAGTGGTGTCACAGTAGTGGTAGTAGTGACACAGTAGTGGTAGTGGTGTCACAGTAGTAGTAGTGGTGTCACAGTAGTGGTAGTGGTGTCACAGTAGTGGTAGTGGTGTCACAGTAGTGGTAGTGGTGTCACAGTAGTGGTAGTAGTGTCACAGTAGTAGTAGTAGTAGTGGTGTCACAGTAGTGGTAGTGGTGTCACGGTAGTGGTAGTTGTAGTAGTGTCACAGTAGTAGTAGTACTGGTGTCACAGTAGTAGTAGTGTCACATTAGTGGTAGTAGTGACACAGTAGTGGTAGTGGTGTCACAGTAGTAGTAGTACTGGTGTCACAGTAGTAGTAGTAGTGGTGTCACAGTAGTAGTAGTGGTGTCACAGTAGTAGTAGTGTCACAGTAGTGGTAGTAGTGGTGGTGTCACAGTAGTGGTAGTAGTGGTGTCACAGTAGTAGTAGTGGTGTCACAGTAGTAGTAGTGTCACATTAGTGGTAGTAGTGACACAGTAGTGGTAGTGGTGCCACAGTAGTAGTAGTGGTGTCACAGTAGTGGTAGTGGTGTCACAGTAGTGGTAGTGGTGTCACAGTAGTGGTAGTAGTGTCACAGTAGTAGTAGTAGTGGTGTCACAGTAGTGGTAGTGGTGTCACAGTAGTGGTAGTGGTGTCACAGTAGTGGTAGTGGTGTCACAGTAGTGGTAGTGGTGTCACAGTAGTGGTAGTGGTGTCACAGTAGTGGTAGTAGTGTCACAGTAGTAGTAGTAGTGGTGTCACAGTAGTGGTAGTGGTGTCACGGTAGTGGTAGTTGTAGTAGTGTCACAGTAGTAGTAGTAGTGGTGTCACAGTAGTAGTAGTAGTGGTGTCACAGTAGTAGTAGTGTCACAGTAGTAGTAGTGTCACAGTAGTAGTAGTAACACAGTAGTAGTAGTGACACAGTAGTAGTGGTGTCACAGTAGTAGTAGTAGTGGTGTCACAGTAGTGGTAGTGGTAGTAGTGTCACAGTAGTAGTAGTAGTGGTGTCACAGCAGTAGTAGTGGTGTCACAGTAGTGGTAGTAGTGGTGTCACAGTAGTGGTAGTGGTGTCACAGTAGTAGTAGTGGTGTCACAGTAGTAGTAGTAGTGGTGTCACAGTAGTAGTAGTGGTGGTGTCACAGTAGTAGTAGTGGTGTCATAGTAGTAGTAGTGGTGGTGTCACAGTAGTAGTAGTAGTGGTGGTGTCATAGTAGTGGTAGTAGTGGTGTCACAGTAGTAGTAGTAGTGGTGTCACAGTAGTAGTAGTAGTGGTGTCACAGTAGTAGTAGTGTCACAGTAGTGGTAGTAGTGACACAGTAGAGGTAGTAGTGGTGTCACAGTAGTAGTAATGGTGTCACAGTAGTGGCAGTGGTGTCACAGTAGTGGTAGTGGTGTCACAGTAGTGGTAGTAGTGTCACAGTAGTGGTAGTGGTGTCACAGTAGTAGTAGTGGTGTCACAGTAGTGGTAGTAGTGTCACAGTAGTAGTGGTGTCACAGTAGTAGTAGTGTCACAGTAGTAGTAGTGGTGTCACAGTAGTAGTAGTGTCACAGTAGTGGTAGTAGTGGTGTCACAGTAGTAGTAATGGTGTCACAGTAGTGGTAGTGGTGTCACAGTAGTGGTAGCGGTGTCACAGTAGTGTTAGTAGTGTCACAGTAGTAGTAGTAGTGGTGTCACAGTAGTCGTAGTAGTGGTGTCACTGTAGTAGTAGTAGTGGTGTCACAGTAGTGATAGTGGTGTCACAGTAGTGGTAGTGGTGTCACAGTAGTAGCAGTAGTGGTGTCACAGTAGTAGTAGTGGTGGTGTCACAGTAGTAGTAGTAGTGGTGTCACAGTAGTTGTAGTAGTGTCACAGTAGTGGTAGTAGTGTCACAGTAGTGGTAGTATTGGTGTCACAGCAGTAGTAGTAGTAGTGGTGTCACAGTAGTAGTAGTAGTGGTGTCACAGTAGTGGTAGTAGTGTCACAGTAGTAGTAGTGGTGTCACAGTAGTGGTGTCACAGTAGTGGTAGTGGTGTCACAGTAGTGGTAGTAGTGTCACAGTAGTAGTAGTGGTGTCACAGTAGTGGTAGTAGTGTCACAGTAGTGGTAGTGGTGTCACAGTAGTAGTAGTGGTGTCACAGTAGTGGTAGTAGTGTCACAGTAGTAGTGGTGTCACAGTAGTAGTAGTGGTGTCACAGTAGTAGTAGTGTCACCGTAGTGGTAGTAGTGACACAGTAGTGGTGTCACAGTAGTAGTAATGGTGTCACAGTAGTGGTAGTGGTGTCACAGTAGTGGTAGCGGTGTCACAGTAGTGTTAGTAGTGTCACAGTAGTAGTAGTAGTGGTGTCACAGTAGTCGTAGTAGTGGTGTCACAGTAGTCGTAGTAGTGGTGTCACTGTAGTAGTAGTAGTGGTGTCACAGTAGTGATAGTGGTGTCACAGTAGTGGTAGTGGTGTCACAGTAGTAGCAGTAGTGGTGTCACAGTAGTAGTAGTGGTGGTGTCACAGTAGTAGTAGTAGTGGTGTCACAGTAGTTGTAGTAGTGTCACAGTAGTGGTAGTAGTGTCACAGTAGTGGTAGTAGTGGTGTCACAGCAGTAGTAGTAGTAGTGGTGTCACAGTAGTAGTAGTAGTAGTGGTGTCACAGTAGTGGTAGTAGTGTCACAGTAGTAGTAGTAGTGGTGTCACAGTAGTGGTAGTAGTGTCACAGTAGTAGTAGTGGTGTCACAGTAGTGGTAGTAGTGTCACAGTAGTAGTAGTGTCACAGTAGTAGTAGTGGTGTCACAGTCGTGGTAGTAGTGGTGTCACAGTAGTGGTAGTGGTAGTAGTGTCACAGTAGTGGTAGTGTCACAGTAGTGGTAGTAGTGTCACAGTAGTGGTAGTAGTGGTGTCACAGTAGTAGTAGTGGTGTCACAGTAGTAGTAGTGGTGGTGTCACAGTAGTAGTAGTGGTGGTGTCACAGTAGTGGTAGTAGTGGTGACACAGTAGTAGTAGTGGTGACACAGTAGTAGTAGTAGTGGTGTCACAGTAGTAGTAGTGGTGTCACAGTAGTAGTAGTGGTGTCACAGTAGTGGCAGTGGTGTCACCGTAGTGGTAGTGGTGTCACAGTAGTGGTAGTAGTGTCACAGTAGTAGTAGTAGTGGTGTCACAGTAGTGGTAGTGGTGTCACAGTAGTGGTAGTGGTGTCACAGTAGTAGTAGTGGTGTCACAGTAGTGGTAGTAGTGTCACAGTAGTAGTGGTGTCACAGTAGTAGTAGTGTCACAGTAGTAGTAGTGGTGTCACAGTAGTGGTAGTGGTGTCACAGTAGTAGTAGTGTCACCGTAGTGGTAGTAGTAGTGGTGTCACAGTAGTAGTAGTAGTGGTGTCACAGTAGTAGTAGTAGTGTCACAGTAGTGGTAGTAGTGGTGTCACAGTAGTAGTAATGGTGTCACAGTAGTGGTAGTGGTGTCACAGTAGTGGTAGCGGTGTCACAGTAGTGTTAGTAGTGTCACAGTAGTAGTAGTAGTGTCACAGTAGTCGTAGTAGTGGTGTCACTGTAGTAGTAGTAGTGGTGTCACAGTAGTGATAGTGGTGTCACAGTAGTGGTAGTGGTGTCACAGTAGTAGCAGTAGTGGTGTCACAGTAGTAGTAGTGGTGGTGTCACAGTAGTAGTAGTAGTGGTGTCACAGTAGTTGTAGTAGTGTCACAGTAGTGGTAGTAGTGTCACAGTAGTGGTAGTAGTGGTGTCACAGCAGTAGTAGTAGTAGTGGTGTCACAGTAGTAGTAGTAGTGGTGTCACAGTAGTGGTAGTAGTGTCACAGTAGTAGTAGTAGTGGTGTCACAGTAGTGGTAGTGGTGTCACAGTAGTGGTAGTGGTGTCACAGTAGTGGTAGTAGTGTCACAGTAGTAGTAGTGGTGTCACAGTAGTAGTAGTGGTGTCACAGTAGTGGTAGTAGTGTCACAGTAGTGGTAGTGGTGTCACAGTAGTAGTAGTGGTGTCACAGTAGTGGTAGTAGTGTCACAGTAGTAGTGGTGTCACAGTAGTAGTCGTGGTGTCACAGTAGTGGTAGTGGTGTCACAGTAGTAGTAGTGTCACCGTAGTGGTAGTAGTGGTGGTGTCACAGTAGTAGTAGTAGTGGTGTCACAGTAGTAGTAGTAGTGGTGTCACAGTAGTAGTAGTGTCACAGTAGTAGTAGTGGTGTCACAGTAGTAGTAGTGTCACAGTAGTGGTAGTGGTGTCACAGTAGTAGTAGTGTCACAGTAGTGGTAGTAGTGACACAGTAGTGGTAGTAGTGGTGTCACAGTAGTAGTAATGGTGTCACAGTAGTGGTAGTGGTGTCACAGTAGTGGTAGCGGTGTCACAGTAGTGTTAGTAGTGTCACAGTAGTAGTAGTAGTGGTGTCACA